AATGATGATGAATATAACATGAATAAATGATATAATTAATATGCAACAGTGATCTACACAATTTAAAAGTATAACCTTCCACATTTAGTCCGTGTACACAATCGTCACCTCGTGTACGTGACTTTCAACACATTGCAATTATCACATTAATACCAATCCTAGGAAAAAGTCCCTCACGCAAGGTTAGACAAGTCACTTACCTCGACTTGCTCCAATTTAATCCACTAGTAGGCATTTTTCTCGATTTTAGACCACCTCGATTTTAGGACTTCGATTTTGGATCTGGACCTTGATTTTTAGGATCTCGATTTGGACCTCGGCCATGACATCATCATGACCTCGATTATGACATCATGAAGAAAAACCAGCAGCATCACACCAGTAAATATCAGCCATGATCCAAAGTCCAAAAATAATCCGTTAACCACCCGAAACTCACCCGAGGCCCTCGGGACCTCAACCAAATACACAAGCAAGTCCTAAAATATCATACAAACTTAGTTGAAACCTCAAATTACACCACACAACGCAAAAATCACGAATCACATCCCAATTCAAGCTTAATGAAACTAAGAACTTCCAACTTCTATATTCGATGCCAAAACCTATCAAATCAAATCGGATTGACCTCAAATTTTGCACACAAGTCATAAATGACATAACGAAGCTATGAAAATTTTCAGAACTGGATTTCGTCCCCGATATTAAAAAGTCAACCCCCTGTCAAACTTCCAAACTTAAATTTCTTATTTTCGCCATTTCAAGCCTAATTTAGCTACGGACCTCGAAATAAATATTCGGACACACTCCTTAGCCCGAAATCACCATACGGAGCTATTGGAATCATCAAAAATCCATTCCGGGGTCGTTTACACATTTTTCACTATCCGATTAATTAATTCAACTTAAGCTCTCCTCTTGGAGACTAAGTATCTCAATTCATTTCAAAACCTCACCGACCCAAACCAATTACCGCAGCAAGTTACATAAGAACTATAAAGTATGAATTTAGTAGTAAATGGGGAAACATGATTGTACTATTCAAAACAACCGGCCGAGTCGTTACACATAAGCCCCGAGGCACGGGGCATAAGCCCCATGGGTGTTTAATTTTTAATATTTTATAAAATAATATAATTACAGTAAATATTTATAAACAAGTAAAATTGCATAAAAATTAAAGAAAACTATAAATATGTGAAAAACATATATATAGATGTGCTCCATCTCCACAAAAAACCAATCAAAACAATCTATTATACGCTACTTATAAGCATAAATAACTTGAGTTGAAAAGAATAAAGTTTACTACATGGAAGAACAAAAAGGATGATTAACCTGCAATTTGAACTTTGAACTTGATGCTACGAAGGTCTCTTTGTATTTGTAAAAAAAGTGAATATTTGCTGCTTTCGGGAGATATTAGCAGACTAGCGGACAAGATAAAGAATTTGAAAAGACTATAAATTAGGGCTTCAAGCAATAAAAAAGGTCTTTACTTTTAAATTTAATACATTTCAGTTCCTTTTTAAAACGTTTGAGTAATTACGAGCCGACTTTTGAGAATTTGGGTATTATATGAAAGACTTATTCAACAAATTTTGTTTTAATTTAAAAAAGTCTCTAGGGCTTACGCCTCACTACAAAAACGTACCTCAAACGCCTGGGGCATACGTCCTAAATTGCTGGGCGTATGCCCGGGCGTAACGCCTCTTGAGACTTTCGCCACACACCATCGCCTCGGGGCATTTTTGATGCGCCTCGCCCCAGAGCTCGCCCCGAAAATGCCTTTTAAAACAATGGTCACTAGTCATGTGCATCCTTCATTGCACATTGTGTTTAGAGAAGAAATTCATCTGGTTTATCAACGTGGTTTTGCTTTTGCAGCCATAAAATTATCAACGCGGTTTTGCTTTTGCAGCCATAAAATTCATAGTTACGGACCTTAAGGTGAATTGGTTATTTGAAGAAAATGGGCTGCTATGTGTGTCACGACCCCGGTTCGCCCTCCATAAACCATCGTGACGGCACCTAGTCCTCTACGACTAGGTAAGCCTAACAAATGCAGAACATAAACGAAACTTGCGGAAGAAATAATCAAAACCCAAAATAACTGAATGAAAATAATAGTTAAAATGCCGCTCGGCATATACAACACAACATTCTCAGAATCAAGTACACTATCCCAAAATCCGAAAACTCACGGAACCACAAGCCTTTGGATATCTACAAGGTCTAACTCCAGAATATCTAATAAGGGAAAGAAATACAGAAGGGCAAATGTTTAAAAACTACAATAGAAATGGACTCCTCGGTCTGCGGACGCGGCAGATATACCTCGAAGTCATTGGAGCAGTCGCCTCGCCTCAAGGGTGATAGGACTGAGTCGCAGTACCTGGATCTGCACATGAAAAACATGCGCAAAAGGGGCATAAGTACACCACAGCAGTACTCAGTAAGTGCCAAGCCTAACCTCGGTCGGGTAGTGACGAGGAAGGTCAGGGCCCTACTGAGGTTAAATAAAGTATAAAGTTTGACACTATAGAACAGAACAATATAAATAAATACAGCAGTGAAAGTAACACAGGATATAAAAAGGGGCAACAACAAATATTACAAAGACAAGGCAAAACACAGAAAGAAATGCGACCTAGCACCAAAATAACAACCAGGGATCTCCCAGGTTACCGTCCTGTAGTCCCATATATACATATCCAATGGATCTCCCGGGATCCTGTCCCGTAGTCCAACTCATAGTGCGCAGGGATCTACCGAAATCTCGTTCCGTAGTCCATTTCATATTAAGGAAACAAATGATTCTAACCTAGCATGCTGCACAGAATTCAAGTAAGGCAAGTTGAGAAAATAAAGCAATTAAGTCACTTAGACATGCTTTCCTAAGCTAACAGTAGGCTTAATAATGCAAGTAATAAAAACAGGAAAGGAACATACTAGTGATTACTTAATGAAAACCGAATTTCCAACAATTAAGCACAAGTACACACTCATCACCTCACGTACAAGGTATTTCAATTACCAAATATACCAATCCTAAGGGAAAGGTCCCCCACACAAGGTTAGACAAGTCACTTACCTCGAGCCGGCTCAAAATCAATCTGAAACCACGCTCTTGCCACGAGTACTTGACTCCAAATATGGCCCAAATCTATTCAATTCAATTTCATAACGTAAATAACACTTCAAGTAACTGATTCTACAAATAAAATTCTAAGCTAATACGCGAAATTAGGTAAAGTAACCAAAATGCCCCTCGGGCCCACGTCTCGGAATCGGGTAAAATTTATATTTTTAGAATCCTCACACTATCCCGAGTTCATGCATACCAGAATTATCTAAATCTAAGGTCAAATTGCCAATCAAAAGTCGAATTCTAGGTCTAAAAACTTTCTTCCAACTTTTCCCCAATTTTCATCTCCAATCCGAAATTAAATGATGAATTCATGTTTGGATTAATGGGTTGCAAGCAAAAAGGAGTTAAGAATCGTTACCCAATATATATCTCTGAAAATCCCTCAAAATCTCGCTCAAATCCGAGCTCCCAAGCTTAAGTTTTCTCAAAAATGGCTGAACCCTCGATTTGAAATTTTTATATTCTGCCCAGCTTTTCCCTTAATCGTGATCGCGGAAGTCCAGACGCGATCACGAAGAACAAAGACCACGCGCCTCAAATTTACTCTATGCGAACGCGGAACCCTGTCCGCGAACGCGATACTGAGCTCCCTCAGACCTACGCGACCGCGGTTGACTCCATGCGATCGCGTAGAGAAACACATAACAACCCATTGCCGCCTTATTCCTTCTACGCGAACGCGGCCTAGCCCACGCGTTCGCGGTTCAGCATTTCCCATAGCTACGCGTTCGCATTCCTCTTCACGCGAACGCGAAGGACAAAATTCCCTCTACCTCATCTAAGCCTTCGCGATCGCGATCCTCCCACGCGATCGCGATGAAGAAAAGTCTGCAACACATACCAGCAAAAATCTGATGTTTCCCCAAGTCCAAAAATGGTCCGTTGAGCATCCGAAACACACCCGAGGCCCTCGGGACCTCAACCAAACTTGTTCCAACCTTCGGAACGCTCAAAACAACATCAAACACCTATTTTTCATCGGATTCAAGCCTAAGAATTCCAAAAACTCTAAAAATAAGCTTTCGATCAAAAGGTCTGTCCAACCTCGTCCGAATGACCTGAAATTTTGCACACACGTCACATTAAACACTACGGAGCTACTCCAACTTCCGGAATGGAATTCCGACCCTCGGATCAAAATCTCACTATCGAACCGGAAACTTCAAAAATTCAACTTTCGGCATTTCAAGCCTAAATTAGCTACGGATTTCCAAAACACAATCCGAACACGCCCCTAAGCCCGAAATCACCCAACTGAGCTAACGAAACCATCAGATTTCCATTCCGAGGCCGTCTTCACATTGTTCCGACTACGGTCAACTTTCCAACACTTGAGCTCTCATTTAGGGACTAAGTGTCCCAAAACTCTCCGAAACTCAAAACCGTACATCCCGGCAAATCAAAATAGCATAAATAAACTTGGGGAAAGCAGTTAATGGGGGATTTGGGCGTAAATTTTTAAAACGACCGGCCGGGTCGTCACAATGTGGGTCTCGTTTCTACTGTCACATACATTGCACATGGAAAGAAGCCGTTAGTTTTGTGCAATTTGTTTGGGTTTGCTCTTAACAAGACTATATGTGCTCCATTTTAGCAAAGGTGAAGGTTCAAGCTGAAATATATCGATTAAAAACTTGAAACCCTAAAAACTCAAATAAACTAGAGCAACATTCTTTCATCCAGAATGTTGCATTTCTTGGACTTATAAGACATAATTCATCAATGCATATACCTGTAACTTATTATGCAGTGGATCATTTATACCTTTAAATTTGCATCGAATAAGAGAAAGGAGAAAAGACCAAGAAAAGCAACACACCACCAAAGACATAATCATTAGAGAATGATATTAAAATTGGCATTGTTTGCCAAGTGTTTTTCACCTCTTCTTCAGAAGGTAACAAAAAATTTCGTATGAACCAGTGCTCTGGAAACAAATGAGTCAGACCAAAAGAGGTCAACTTATTACTTTAAAAAACCAATGGTTTATCCTCCTCCGCACAACAAAACATGCCTATCAGACTACAAAATAGAAAATATATGTCGGTAATTCCTTAGGCAGTAGCAGATTTCAGGTAGGCAATGAGGTCTGCACTTTCATGTGGCTTCTTCAAACCAGGGAAAACCATCTTTGTTCCAGGTATGTACTGTAGAAACAATCAACAGAATTAATTGCCAATAAGGGAAAGGCGGATTCTAATGGAAGGAAACACAAGAAAGCAGAAAACAAAAGGAACTACAACATTGATATGATATGAAATGCAATTTCCACAAGAAAAGTTATGCAATTAGGTTAGGTTAGGTTGTCCCATCAGACAACCGTGTCTCCGTGGTAATGTAAACACAAAAATCTAGCATAATGATAAACTTTAACCATACCTTCTTGGGGTTGAGCAAATAATCATACAAAGTCTTTTCTTCCCACATCACAGCCATATTCTTATTTGCAGCAGAGTAGGAGTAACCAGCATTAGTTCCACACTACCTTCCAAAAAGTCCATTCAAATTAGGTCCCGTTAAAATACATATTGTTGTAAGTTACAGCAAAACTCATAAAACAATTCCAAAAATAAGAACTCTACATGTCTTTGCACACACCTTCACCCAGAAGGGATACACCAAAGTTTAGACAATTATCATGATCCAGCATGGTTATAAAAAATAAAAAAAGAAAGGAGTCACCAAGATATGAAAAGATAATTGTAAACAGTCTCTTCTTTTTCATTTGTACTTACCTTTGCTGAAAATTAAAGAAAAAGAAGAGACTGTTGGTGACATTAGGAAATTTTGGTTGTATTGACGGAAAGTGACTAGTAAAAAAAGGTTTACAGCAGGTGTATTACATGGCTATTTTTTCTCTTCACGTTAGAATTTGGCGAAAATTCAATCTTAAGAATCCGTGTCCAACTTTGTTTTAGTCTCCTTTTCCGTTTCTCTTTTCTTTAAGGCCCTAATTGATTTTTCCTATTTGGAATGGATCACTTGGGATATTCTTCGTAAGAGAAAATGCCATCATTTCTTTTATACTTTCCAAAATAATTACTAAATCGATATGAGAAGTTGATAGTTTTAGGGAGAAAAAAAATATCATGTTGTGGTCGTAAAAGTACAGGCGCCTTTTCTCTTTTGTCATTTTTACCCCTTTCAAATAGTTGTTTTAATCTCAAAAGATTGGTGTTTAGCTTGAACAAAGCACATGCCAGAGCCGCCTATAACCAACTCAATTGTCTTTATAAAATAGAAAAAACTCTTCCAAAAATGCCTTTCAAATGGGAATACATAATATTTCGTCATCTGTATAATCAAGCATTACAAAGACTAAACAAGATGATCAGGTACTAATTTCAGCCTGCCTCTCTTTTTTTGGGAAAAATAATACAAAAAACCCCTCCTGAACCACAAAGCGGCGCTTACATTCAGCAAATACCCACTCAAGTTTCCGTGTTCGTTATACTTGCACATACAAATGCAACCAAGTCAAGAATTCTCACTGATAATCACCGCGTTCTGGTATATGCTACGGTCCTTTAGCTTAACAGGTGGCGTAAAGTAAAAGGTCATCGAGGTGATTCCAGGAAGTAAACTGATTATGCAGCAGCATCGCTACTGTCTCCTTTTGACCTTTTACTCTTTTTCTTGGTCTTTGGTTTCTTGCTTCCGACGTGTTCTTTTGATGCTTTCTTCCTTTTAACCGGCTTCCCTTCCTCCTCTTCCATCTGTAATGTTTCATCTGGATCTTGTTGCCGAGGAGGTACCTGAGCTTCTGAACAAGCATAATGACACATCTACTTGTTAGGATAGTTAGATCTTAAAGAGAAGAAAAGGCAAACAAGGAACGGAGGGGAAGGTATGTGGATCAGACGAAAAAGCTAGGTAGAAAATAGTCTTGGTAATTGGTAGAATCTATTAAACTAAGGGGGAAAAAACATGGATAAAAAGTAAAAACAATCAAAGAACTCTTAGGGCAATCAAAGAGAAAAGTAGTGCACAAAATCGACCAAAGAATTCCAAATATGCTCATAAGCCTGCTAATATGGTATGGGAGACTACCCAGAATATATAAAAATGATAACTTCATTCTGTCTCCATTTCTCCTGACAAATTCCTATACTAAATTCTAAAAGGATTTAGTGTACTGGACCGTATAAAGAAAATTATATTCCACAAGTCAGAGGGGAAACATAAGAACAAGGCAGATGGAAATCCAAGTTGAAGAAAATTCGTTGATGTCTAAAGAAAGAGAATATTTAGTACTATCTGGACACAGATACAGTCATACAAACCAAGGCATTATCACCGAAGAGCTAGGAGAAGTAGAAAGAAAGCTTATCTCTCGCAGAAAATTTTGAATCAAAAACAACACTGCTAAGATGCTGCTTCAAGAAAACCTGCATCCAAATTCCAGCTTTAAGTACTTGAGGATCTATGTCTCGTGCCGATTTAAGATAAATAAAAAATACATGTTCGTAATTCATCAGCTATGCCTAAATCCCAAAGTAGTACAGGTTTGGCTATATGAATCCTTTGTTCGTAGTTTACCTATTTCTACACTATCGATACCCTACTTTTTATCCGGGCTTCGGAAACGCTGTGCTTTGACATAGGTGGAGATTCTTTTATACCCAAATTAATCCCAATGTTATGTACCATGGACTATAACTATCATTTCATTATCTGTTGTCGCAGCCAAAGATTTTGCTTTTACAAATAGGAGTACGCAAATTCTCGCATTAGTAGTGTTTCTGCATATATGCATGCTTACGAATATTTATGGCATTCCACTCTTGATCTGACTTACAATACATGCTACATGGTGCTAATGATGGGTAGGCAGCACATGTTAAACTTGAATCTTTTTTATCAAACCAGCTAACTATTTTGTAACATGTAACAGGGAAAAAGTAGCTCTGTTAAAGCAAGATAGCATCTGACCACAAAAATTCATCACATCTAGACCCATATGATGTAAGACAAATAATTATGTCAACCAAAAAGGCAGGAAACGAAAAGATGAAAGCCAGAAAGGGTTTCTTTCTTAAGTAATAACCTCTTCTTTTAGAAACATCACCAATTATCTTTATACACAGAACATGAGACACTAGAACCATTGTTTACTAATCCAGTATGACTTGGTCAAATTGGAATGCTAAGTCAGGAAAGTTTTAACTTTAACAGTTCGAAGTCGAAGGACGATAATATATCAGGTGAAAGTGAGTGTTCAAAGACAACAATTCAATTTGCCGAAACAGACAAAGTTTTTGAGGAATTCTAAACAAAAAGCTTATCAAAAGAGCCCTGATGAATAATGGGAAGTAGATTGTCCAATAAATAAAGGACATAAAAAATTAGTGTTTCAAGAAGAAACTTTCTGCTGGTACATAAGTGAACATTTTATTGAAACAAAAGAAGCACAAAAATAGTGCAGTGAGTAACACAGGATCCTTACAAAAGTGACAGTTTCTGTCTCAAGAAATCTCACAAAAACTCAGTTCCAATCTAATCTAATGTGATAGGAATGGAACTTGTATTCTGTACATCTAGAGCCTTGACTTTTTAACTCTGACAGTCCTAAGAGCTAAACCAACCCAAAGAGACATCAAGTCAAATTTGAGTTTCAGTTCTAAAATGTTGCAATGCACTGATATGAAGAGCAAAAGGAGAGCAGTCAACAGCCACTCATTGTGTGTATGTGTGTGTTTGGGGGGTTAAGCAATAGCTCAGCCAAAATATAGCTGTCTATTGAATTGTCCACTCATTTCTTATAAAATCTGTAGCATGGACAAATAACATACCGCAGAGAGAAGTTGCCGTGACTTGACATCCCAAATGCGTAAGTAGCTGTCCAATCCTAGTCAAAAGTAACTTTGTTCACGTGAATAACTCATGAGGAACAAGAGTTGAAGAAAAACAATAGCACTTCTATAAAGAGGCATGTGTTCTACGCTTGCAGTTCTTAAACAATGTAACATACAAGGTTTCACAAGCTTCAGACTTTCTATTATGAGATTATATGTTGCATTCAGCAAATGTGGAGCCAACATGACTTTAGGACAATATCTGTGTTCCTAGGCAGTAGCTTCCATCAACAAAGTAATCATATATCCAGATCAAAACTGTTGTATATACAAGGACCATGGACAAATGCTATAACTGGGTTATAAAGAAGTTATCTGCGATTTCAAATACTCACCACATGAGGCTATAATCGGCAGCTCTGGATGCCTCACTATAGATCTTATACTTCCAGAACATTTCCCCAAGAAGGATCCCAAAAGTTTCCCTGAAACAAAAAGGATGCACTCAATTGTGAGACCCACAATATGTAAATTAAATGAGTCTAGACATCAGAATCGCGATTGAGAGAGCAAATTGTATTCCTAGACTGACGAGTTAATTATCATAAACAACAAGAATCATGTCAATGAGAAGTAAATTGAAGGAAGTTCAAGCTATTAAAACAAAAGCAGAAATAAACAGGTCGACACAGAATACCATTAAAGAACACCTTTGTCTGTGTGCAAGTGCTTTTCTGAAATTGAAGTCATAAACCATATCACAACGTTCTTATGCATTAGACAAAAAAAGTACAGTGGCCAACTTAAACATGAAACCTTATCAGTGTAGAAGAAACACAAGTTGTATTATGTTTGCCACGGAAATCCGTTGTCTTACTTTCTACAAACGATATCAATTCCGTGCCAGAACCAAATAACAGAACACACTTAGACTTGGATAACAAAAATGTGGAGAAGAACATGCACAATCATAAAATTGGCCAAGCAATATCCTCCATAATTTTGGGTAAACTGAATACTGGCTTAAGGATATCTTACCCTTTCCAATGCACTCTTCTTCAAACAATAATAAAATAGTATCTACTTATATGGCAAAGATGTATATGAAGATTATGTCTAATGACAACATAAACAATGATCACTATGCTGCGACAACCGTTTACCTGTGCGTATATCAATTTAAGCAAGATCGCCTGACCCGTTTCCTATGTATATTGTCTGTCCATCTATATCCTCAGCCACAGCTTTAATAGGGGTCTCACGAAAATCAAATGAAATAACAGGCCTTCTTTGAGCAGCAATATCATAAAGACGCACCTATAAATTACCCAGTCCGTACAGTATATATCAGCACCAAAAACATTTAATGGGTAAATCAGCAACAAATTTACAGATATGAAAATGAACAAGCTTAGAATACAACTTTTAGAGCATCTATGTCCAATTACACGCTGCAGGTTTAACAGTAAGCAGAATGGGTGTATATGTGGATCTGATCTGGATCAACTTTAGTGTATTTAATAGGCTGAAAGCAATCTATGCTATTTAAACCAAAAACCAATTACAATAAAACAAGAGGCTTCTCTCCATTAAAACTTCGAGAAGCACCAACAACAGATTAACTGCTGTTTCTCCACAGTGAAAGGAACAGAAGAGCATACTGGTAAAAAGATGGTACTGCATTGCGGAATCTGAAGAAAACCAGTCCCGGTATATCTCTGAAATCAGAGAACTCCTAGGGGATACTGAAGCAGGATTTGTGAGGTGAGGATGTGTGGCTGAAATGCATGACTAGCTGAGCTCTTTTATTTTGGCAGATTCACAGAGCAATTAGTCTAGATCCACTTATGGAGACTTCCTTCCAGTTGATATAGATTTCAATAGACTAGTATAGGCTATGATTAGGGTCTCAGTAGTTAATAATATAATAGAGGGTGGTGGTTGGAATCGGGTAATGAAGCAGTACAATAGTTGGCTGCTTTGTTGGGGGGGTTGGGGGGGGGGGGGGGGGGGGGGGGTGTTGAGAATGAAAAAAAGTAGCAGCATTCTAGGAAGAAGACAAAGGAAGGATAGAAAATGGTTTAGACGGACTGCTAAGCTAGTCAAATCCATTTCAGCACTGATGTTGACCAGCCTAAAATATATAGCATGTTGGAGAATCACCGACTTTTTTTTATGACCAACATATCCGTTTGAGGCCGACCCTTAGGACCAACCGCACCCTTCAAAACTCAGGGATAATGGGCCCGCTCGTCTACCCTTCTCCACTTAAATACTAGGCTTGGTTTGTATGACGCAGAACTCAAACCTAAGTCCCTCAACCTTTGCCCCTTGACTA